TGAGGAGGCAAAATGTTTTATTGTTTCCAATTAGCGACTTTCCCAACGGCTTTTCTGCTCGGTGTTCCCTAAAGCAGGACACGTGCTAGATGCATTTCCCAAACTCACTTGTCCGCCCTGCAGCACGTGCTGGACGATGGGATACAACTTTGGCTGCATTACTGCCCATTTTAGAGACAGCACTGGGTGTCTCTAAAGTTTGGCACGAGAATGAAAGGGCTGCTTTTTAGAGCCCTGCCAGAAGATTCAGAAAGTGATTGGTCAGTGTACTAACATACAGTATTTTATTTTATTTCATTTTACTTTATGTTTTTTTGGCTGTACAGGAGTGGATCCGAAACCTTCACCTTGGTGTTGTAGCGCTGTATTCTAACCTACCGAGCCACAGGTCAGCCCTCAGTTTTGTTTTTTGAAAAACCTGGAGTGGTCTGGCTGTTGTGACAAGTTGCTGTGTAATCTTGGATGTGGTCCTGGGATGAAATATCCTCATCATTGTGAACCATGCCTTATCTGATAAGTCGAAGACCAGGGAATGCTTTGCACCTTGGAATCACGTCTTTGAAATAACTTCTCAATGTTATACTGCCTTTAAACTTTTTTTTTTTTTCCTTTTTGTCTTTTTACTGACCGGTAATGGGATCGCAACCTGCGGTGTCGGGCCTGTACCGGGGACTGGCAACGGGATCGCAACCCTCGGGGTTGTGCCAGCACCAAGCTCAGCCAGTGAGCGGAACCGGTCTCCACATGGGATCCGAACACTCGGCGGGAGCGCCATGCGCTCCCAATTGTTGCACTCTCCAGTGCGCCACCGGGCTGGCCCCTGCCCTTAAATTTTGATTGTGGGGCCTGAGCCTGTGGCGCACTCGGGAAAATGCAGTGCTCAGAGCGCAGCAGCGTTCACGCCCCGGGTTCGGATCCTATATAGGGATGACCATTGGGCTCACAGCGCTCACTGGCTGAGCACAGTGCGGTCAGTCTCAAAAAGGAAAAAATAAATAAATAAATAAATAATAAGTCTTGATTGTGAATGTTTTATGTAAACCTAAAGAAATTAATTGGAATTTTACACACTAATTGAGAAACCTTAGTGGTCAGTAGCTTTAATTATTTGTAGTTTGAAAAATCTGTTGATATACACAGGCTCGATTTAAAAATAAATCTTCAGTTACTTTGGTAATTCGTAAGTTTTGATTGTGAATGTTTTATGTAAACCTAAAAAAATTAATTGGAATTTTACACATTTATTGAGAAACCTTAGTGGTCAGTAGCTTTAATTAATTGTAGTTTGAAAAATCTGTTGATATACACAGGCTCGATTTAAAAGTAAATGTTCAGTTACCTTGGTAATTCAACTACCATTTTCTTCTGATGCTAAACTCGAAAGTTTATTGCAGAGAACCTACCGGGAAGTCTACTGAAGATAATAAATTTGCTTTTCAGAGATAGCCACCTAGGTAAACATTGATGCTTACTTTGGCTCTCATGGTTGGGATTATACTGTATTTCTCTGTTTTGAAAGCTTTTCCCCCTTTGAACATTATGTCACAGGAGTTTCAACCGCCTTGATAGAAATGTTTTTTTTAGAACATGCTTATCGGGTGTACATTCTATCTCAGGGAAATGCCAACATTTATTTAACATCTTGTTTATTATTTAACCACTTCATTTAGATTATTATTAGATACTTAGGCCAATTTCTAATGTTCCATTCCCCACACCGCCCACCCCATTAACAGTATTGGGCAGAAATCACAGTGGTTCTTCAAACCCAACTGCACATGTTATGGCCTAGAAAATAAGGGGAACGATTCCAAGTCTCTGCCCAAAGGTAGAATTGGAAACTTCATAATGTGATTTCCAATTTAGTATAATATTCACACCATCACATATCCCTCACACTTCCTAATAACAAATGTGAAACCATTCGTGTTTTCACTTACACATACCCCTAGGAATATTTCTTCAGTAGCTATATGACAATTTGTTCTGTGACGTTTGCTTAGAGATTAGGGTTTCATACATTTAGAAACATCGAATTCTTATTGCTTAGTTT